GTGGGCAGACAGGAGCTGAGAGGGAGAGAGGGTGAGGCAGTAGGAGGAGAAGAGAGAGAGAGGCCATTTGCGTCACTTGTTCCCACGCGGCGGCTCGGCTGAGTGGCGCAGAAGTCAGCTGAGCGCCCTGGTGGGAGGCAACAGCATCGCCCAGAGGGAACAGCCAGCGTTTCAGCATTACGGAGTCACAGACATTGGGCTACTATAGAGACGACTAGAGCAAGATCAGCTCTCACTGCCGAGCTCCTCCCGCTACCGTGCTGGTTGAGGGTTTCCCCTTCCCCTCTAATGCAGCTCTGCTCGTGTCATACACACCTGGTGCTTGGGAGGGAGGAAGATAAAGGCTCCCACAAGAAGGATATTTAGTGACACTCTAATGAGGTGGATCAGTTCCAAGCAGTGTTATTGGTCAGTTTTCAGAAGGAAGCCTTGACCCTGGTTGCTGCAGACACCAGTCCCCAGACCAGGTCGCACCTCCAGCCCACTGTGGCTTTCAGCCCTTCAGGGGTTGCACACAAAGCTGACACTTTCTAGGAGCAAACGGCCCCTTTTCAGGGAAATTTTCACTTCAGAAGCTGGTGGAGAAAAGGGAAACTCTTGTGTGGCCCTAGCTGTGATTCTGGTGCCCTGCTTGCCCACTCAAAGGTGTCTGCAACAATCGGTTTAATTTCAGCTGGGATCACAAAGCACAAAATGTTTCCTAGTCCACCCCCCAATGACAGGGGTGGAGTAAAGGGGATGTGGGTGCCTTGGCTGACTGGTGCTGGATTGAGCAGGTCTGGGTCCCTTTTGGATGCAACCTCAGCTCAGGAGTCCTGGGGGTTTGTGAAGTTTGGTTTGAGGATAATCAACATCTCAGGGAGGCATTTAACCCTTGAGTTACTGAGACAGGCTGTCCCTTCAGGTTGTCCTTGATAAGGGAACACTCTCAGGTTGGCTGCTACCCAGGGGGAACAACCACATGGATCCTGTGTTACAATCTTTATGGCCAGAACTCCCTGCTCAACGGGATGTTGCTGAATGGGGACTGATTTTGCACAGATCCTATCACCCTCTTTAAAGCTGCTGTGTTTGTCCCATCCAGGAGAGGGGAAAAGAGCTGAGGAGAGCAGGCTGCGTCGGACAGAGATGTGGGGGGGGGGGGGGGGTAGAGGGCATGGAGAGGGAAGGGGTGGAGCAGGAGATCAGGTGAGGTGTCTGGCAGGGTGAGGGGAGGGTGACACACGGATGATGGAGGAGCAGGAGGCGCAATACACTGAACAGGTTGCCCCAGGGAATGCAGGGGAGGAGGAGTAGATGCGGGTGGACACTTAGCTTGACAGGATGGAAGATCATTGAGCTGTTGCTGGGGTGCCCGGCAGGGGAAGTGGAATAGGGAGATGCTGTGTGTGTCTGTGGGCAGGTGTCCACCATAGAGGGCAGCTTATGGTGCTGGGCAGAGAAGGACAGACCCTGTAAAGCTGGGTACGGGGCTATGGAAGAGGGACAAGGCCTTGAGGCTGGAGGTGGGAGATGTTAGTGGTTCCACTTGGCCTAACAATGATCCCCAGACTTGTCCACCCCTCTCTTGTCAAGTGACCTGGGCCGCTAGGCTTGGGACTCGCCCTCTGCCCTGGGGGTTTGCATGGTGGCTCTTTCCAGTGCTGTGTTACATTGGACGAGGTAGAACAGGCTGGGCAGGCGCTGGAAGCCCTGTAGGTCCTGCAACCGCTGCATCTGGAAGTTCTCCACAGCCACGTTGCCGTAGATGGGGTAACCTAGTGAATGGAGCCGCTTGGCCATCACGCTAGTCAGCACCCTGTTGTAGCCGCGCCCTCGGTGCTGGGGCAGAGTGTAGGCAGCCCCCAGGGCACCAAACACATCTGAAGTGTCCCAGCTGACAGGGTGGCCGGTGGCATCCAGGAGGCAGGCACTGGGGAAGTGGCGAATCAGGCTGGCCAGGTACTTCCTGCTCTTCTCGTTCCCCCCAAAGCGCCACGTCTCATTCAGCAGGTCGACATGGGAGACATCCAGGGACGAGAGCCTCACAGCTGGGCCCAGCCTAGGGGGGCAGAGAGCAGCAGGGCGGAGCCCCAAAGGTCAGGGATGGGGACTGAGACCTCTAGAATGATGAGACTGGCCCAACGATCTTGAGGCTTTATCAAAATACGATCCTGTATTGCTGGTCTCCCTGGAGAGCTGATCTCCCCTGGCTCCTGTGCTGTATGGTTTACTATGGTGATAGCCACTCCCTATCTCCTACCTCCTCATCGGGGCATATTCCCCCCAGCTAATCATTCTGCCCCAGCCGTTCTGCCCCTGTACAGAAATCTCAGCCCTGTGCCCAGCCCCACAACCCCCCCTTGGCACCTCCTGGGTTCTTCCTCCCCTCCCTGCCCTGTGGGGGTTGCCATAGGCTCCCCTCTGTCCTTCCTATGCCAGGTGCTCTGGAGATGTGGGGACACTGTGCTGCCCCATTGCTCACAGCAGGGGAAGGGAAGAAGGAACTGAACTGGCATGCCGAGTAATTTCTGCAGCCATGAGAAGGTGTCGCACTACTGCAGGATGCAGAGGAAGACAGATCTCTTACTGAAGCAGTGTTGATTGGCTGCTTTTCCCCAGTATGTCATGTAGGAGAGGCAGCCAATCAGACTGGGCTTTCACACACACACCCCTGCCCAAGCAGAGGGAAATTCTGATGACTGTCTTTGTAAGCCAGACTCCAAACCTGGCCAGACTTGTAGGGTGGTGGGAATGGCAGAGCCAAATGATGAGGCGAGGGACTGTCTTGCTCTGGGGATGGAAAGGGGTCCCAGGGCCCTTCTCTCCTGGGGGGAGCTCTGACCTGGCCCCAGCACATGGGATATCCACTGGGCCAGAGCTAGAGAATGGGACGCGGGGACTTTCCCTTTATACCCACATGACGGCAACACTGCCAAATGTCCCTTCTTGTTAGAACTGAGCACTTCCTTCCTCCTTTTGGGAGAGACGCCCCCCCACTGCCCACGTCACCCCCCGGGTACCTGCCCCTCCCTGGGTCCAGGTGAAAAGCCAAGTTCTGAACAGGCTGTGGGCAGGGCAGGCTCCTGTCTACCCTGGGCCGGGTGAGACGTGGTGCAGGGATGTGAGGAGCGTGGCCACTCAGCGCCTTCTGGGTTGCCTGGCAGAGGGCAGGGCCCTGTGCAGGTGCTGAAAGGATCTTGCCACCAATGGGTGGTCCCAGCCCATGGCCACACTCCCCAGTCCCTGCGGGTCCCTGAGGGAGGCTGGGCTCAGCGCCAGTCCCACTGGGATTCTGCTGGTGGCAACAGGACCCCAGTGCTCCAGGCCCTGCATGGGGAGCAGCCAGACAGAGCTTGGACATCCAAGTAGCCTGCTGGCCAATGCCCCCACCTCTCAGCCTGCTCCCTGCTCCACCACGCTCCACTCCTCCCCCAGTGCCTGGCTATGGAGCCCGGCGGCTCAGACAGTTACTCACCGGATCTCAGGCATGGAGCTGGGATCGGGGTGGAAGTACATGAAGTAGCGGTGCACGTCCAGCTGGGACCCCTTGGTCTGGGCGATCTCCCTGGAGGCCTCGTACAGCCCGTCACGGAGCCCTGCAGGGGGCAGTGATGGGCCGTGAGCCATGTGGACCATAGGGGAATGGTTATGAGAAAAGGGCCCATACATGTGGGGAGCCCAGCCTGGCACAGGGGGAGGGGTCTGAGCTACCAAACCCACCTGCCCCAGTGTGACCAGGCCCAGAGACGGGGCCCCTTGGCCTGGTCCCGGTTCATGAAAGCTCTCGGTTCCCTTAGTTGTTCCTTATTGGTCCCGCCACTTCACCCCCAGCCCAGTCATACGATGGCCTCTTTAGCCTGCCAGGCAGAGAAGGATGAGGGTGGCTTCTCCTCCAGCTAGCTCTACGCACCCTTCTCCGAGGGCACAGGAGGGAGAGAGGGGCCCGGGCCCACCCGCACTCACGAGCCCCAGCCCAGGGCACTAAGGACAGGGACCTTTAGCGGTCCCATCTGGCTGGCGGGATATCTGCCACAGCTTGCCAACCCACGGGCTCTGAAATGCCCTGCCCTGGGCTGCTTCCTCTCCCCATCTGGTGCTTTACCTCCCGACCGTCCTGGGTTGTAGTTGCTCACGCTGGCTCGTGCTCCGGGGCCCAGTTCCCTCACCAGCGCCCCTCCGACCACTTTCCACTCCCGGGTAAGCTGCCCCCACTTGCCCGGTGGCCAGCATCTTTTCAAGCCGGTGCCACCGCAGCATCCCATGTGATGCCACTCTGACGTCCTGCGGGTGGCTCTCCCCCACCCCCGTCACTTTGGGGCCATGCCAGGGCCACGGTGCCTACAACCGCAAGGCGCTCCGTGGCCCGTGAGCACTCAGCACAATGCCAGTGCCCCATTCCTGGTGCCGCGAACTGAGCGCTCGTGGTGGTGGTTACAGTGAACGGCTGCGGGGCCCCGTCACACCCAGGCTTGGGGTTTGGAGCAGGACAGGACAGATGCTCAGTAGCTGTGAGGCTCTCCCCAGCGGTGTGGGCCCCATGGTACCGTGGATGCGGAAGGCCTGGTCCCAGTTGATAGCACTGACCAGCAGGGTGCGGCACGCGCTCAGGTCCCGGTAGTGCACTGCATACGTGTTGGTGTAGAAATCAGAGTCGTCCGATGCCACCTGCCGGGGGGACACATGGAGCCAAAAGGGGAACTCCTATGGAATAACTGATCTGCCTGCCCCCTTATGGAATCTTGGACCTTTCTCTGGGGTTCCCTAGAGGTGAAGGGCTGCATATCTCAATCCCAGCCCCCAAACTGGCGTTTCTCCTGTGGGCCCTATAAGAGGAAGGGTCTGAATCAAATTCCTGTCCCCTCCCTGAGCCAACCTGTCTCCCGCAGTGGGCCCCTAAAGAGGCAATACCCCAGGTCCCATTCGATGATGTTCCCCCAGATGCAGAGCGGTGGGGCAGCACCTCTCTGTTTGGCCGGATAAGGACAGCTTTGAATTCGGGCCATGAATCCATCAGCACTTCATGTCCAGCCACGTTCCCGCGGTTTATGTTCATCACGGCACTGTGGACCTGTGAGAGACAGAGACAATCCCGCGCTCCCAGAACTGGAGGGCACCTCGAGGGGTCATTCAGCCCAGTCCCCTTCACTCATGGCCAGATCGAGCACCACTTGGAGGTGTTGGGGGTCAGAGGCAGGGGAGGGGCAGCAGTTCCAGCTTTTACAGCTCTGTCAGGAGCCTTCTGATGTTTACTGAGGGGTTTCAGCATCTCATGAGCCCCTGCACATTGGGGGAGATTTTGCTCTTTTGAAAAATATCCTTTGTCTTCCATTACTGCCTATGGGGCTGACACCACAGGCTGCCTTTAATGAAGATGGTCACCACCCGTGTTCCCTGTAAGCTGTGCATTTGTGCAGCCACTCAGGAGTAATTCAAATGCTTCCCAGATGGTTAGCAGAGAGCCCACGGCTAGGGGCTTGTTTCTACAGGTGGTGACATTCCCACATGCCTCAGTGCACAAAGAAATTATTTTACACTTAGATGGAAAAAATCTGCACTTGGAAAATATTAGAGGGCACATTGGCCGCTACCTCACAATGATTTCAGTGGGCCAAGGCCAGGGAAGCTGAGAGATGGAGATGGGTGGAGTGGGGAACGTGAATAGCAGTGAGGAGATGAGGCTGTGAGGGGTGGGGAGGGACAGCGGAAGGCACTAGGGGCTGGGCTGAAGGACAAGGAGGGAAAAGGGGGATGGGGACATGGGCCGCGCTGTTTCTAGCCACCCTGGGTTCACTCTCCTAATTTTTGGATCAGACCCTGCTGTGTGGCCCCTGGGCTTATATCAAAGGGGAGATCCTGAATGGACTGTGACCCCTCCCACCTCCACACACACACATTTGAACTATGTGATGGGCCTGGAGACATGGAAGGAGCCAGAGTGACCAGCTTCCTAATTGTTTGTTGGCCACTGGGCTTATATCAAAGGGGAGATCCTGAATGTGTGTAAGTGGGGGGACAAATGGACTGTGACCCCCCTCTCACCTCCACACACACACACACACACACACACACACACACACACACACACACACACACACACAAGCAGAAATAGGTTCTGGGTTTGGGTTTTGGGAGACAGGAGATGTGGGTGGGGATGGGGTAATCGAAAGAGCAGCCAGAGCGGGAGAGGGTCCTGCCTGCAGCCAGCCAATCCCTGCCCCATCCCTGGCAAGAGAGAACTTTCTGCCCCACTCCCATTACTATCCCAGGAGGTGCCGCGTGGGAGAAAGGCAGGTCCATTTCACCGGCAGAGTCTCAGGCAGGCTCCTCCGCAATGTCCCCTCCAGCAGCCGCAGCTTGGAGGAGCAGCTCAGGAGCAGCATCTCCGGTGGGGACGGGCCCTCGGCAGCTTCCAGCAATGACTGCGCAGGGGACGCCCTGGGGGGCAGAGACGCATCAGTTCCCTGCAACCTCCCTGCTCCCACCTCCCTGGAGACTCACAGGGTGTCTGCAGCCTCCCAGACCTGCCCAAATAGCAAATCCTATTGGCTGACCCCACTGTAACAAACCAGGCGGATGCAGCTCCTGTGCCTGGGCATTGTTCACACTATTGCACCAATGACTGTTTTCTCAGAGCAGCATTTCCTGAGGGTTTTCCTCTCCCCTACGGATCAGAACTTCCCTGCAGTTAATCCTGGAGCTTTTCACTTTAAAAATCCCTTTTCATAGGAATTTGCACAAGTGTCACTTGGACGTTCCCAGACCCGAGCAGTGGTGGGTCAGGACCTCGACTGGACAATTCTCTTTGAAGAGAGAACAAATCTCCCCACTATGTCCCCCACTTTTTGGAGCTGTGTTTGTCTGGGTCAGGACCCTCCCATAACGCACGAGTCTGGGTGCAGCGCCCTGCTCACCATAGACCCTATAACAATAATGCGTACTGTGTGGGCCTGTGTGACCCCAGGACAGGACTGAACAGGCCTGGGTGTCCCCAGTAGCTTCCACTCACCTGGGCAGTCTCAACACTGGGATAAAATGCAGCCCCAAAGAAGTTGGAGGGACAGGGAGCTCGTGGCGCAGTGAGGTTCCTGCTGGACAGCAGCTGGTTCTGTCCCTGCTGGTCTCTCTCTCGGGGGCTGTTGTAACATTTTATCCCTGAGCAAATGAACCATTAACAGAGTCTGTGCCTGGCTGGGAGCTGGGACAGTCACGTCCCTGCCGTAGCAAGGCAGGGTCAGGCTCCTTCCATGGGCAGAGGGGGAGAGGTGATTTCCTGGGGCCGGTGGAAAGGAATTCTGAGGAGTCATGAGCACGGCCAGGAGTGGGGCGCAGGCGACCAGCTCAGCTGGCTCCTCTTGAATCCTGACCCACGTCCTCGGCGATCTCAGCTCTGGGCTCCCGCATGGCAGCTCCTGCCTCACTCTGTCTCTCTTAAACAGAAGCCTTCGCTATCGTAACCGTAGCCAACCTGGTGCTCAGCTGGCGTATTGTATGAAATCATTCAGCAGCTGCTTTGCTATCTCCAGATCCCCGGCCTGGGACAAGCCTGCAAGTACGGGGCCCCTGAGCAGCGTGAC